GAAATGGACTATCTTTGACATTACTTTTTGGCATATGCTATGGTTTGAAAGTGTCCCTCAAAGAGCATGTGTTGGAAACTTAATCCCCAATGCAACAGTGTTGAAAAGTGGGATTTTTAAGACATGATTAGGTCATGAATTCATGGTGTTATTGTTGAAGTGGGTTCCTTATATAACAAAAGGAGTTTGGACCCCCTTCCCTGTCTCTCGCCAAACTGCTCTTTTTCCCTACTTCCATGGAATGATACAGCAAGAAGGCTCTCAGAAGATGCCAGCCCCTTGACCTTGGATTTCCCAACCTTCAGAACTGTGAGGAAATACATTTCTGTTCATTGTGAATTACCTCGTCTCAAGCTAATCTCAAGTATTCTGTAATATTAATAGCAGCACAAAATGGACTAAGACAGTGTATGAACTGTAGCCCCTATGGTTGAGAATTAAAGAAGAAGACGCTGTACCTTGGAATAGCAAACATTCATGTTTTCTATAAATCAAGAGCACCCCCAAAGTGCATGATATGGTGACTTGTAATGTCACCGAGACATGGATTCAAGAGTCACATGTGCTGTGAGCCTGCATTAGTAGGGAATGAGTCATTTGGCGATGACTGAATTTAGTGGCTCTTGGCAGCTATGTGCTTTGAAAGAAAGTCTGAAGGTTGTGCCAATAATCCTGTGAAGGCACTCGTTTGGCTACCACAATTTTCCTGTGAATTAGACATAAAAATTTTAAGGAGAAGTTGTACTTGCATAAGTTGATGTTCACAGAAAACATTAGGCCACTTTTTCCACAGAAGCTTTTTCTTTTGGAGCTAAAGAATTTCATTTGAGGCAAGAGTTATAAGGCAACTGAAGCTAATGGTCTGTGAGGATGAAATCAGACAATACTGAAAAATAGATGCGAACACACATATGTGGTGAGGAGACACCAATCTTAGCATTTAATGGGATAAAGGCACACTGACTTTTCTATTTAGTTGCAGTATAGCACATTTTGTCATTAAAGGTAGACTTGTTCTTTTCTTTGCATAGCCTAAGGGCATCTGGCAACAAGAACAAGAGCATGGTGCTTGCATAATGGCTGCTCAGTATATAAAATTGTGACGTGACATAAACCCTTTGGACAGATTTCATTAGGGCAAATTCTCTTGCAGACGGCATCAGAAACACAAAGCTAATTAGAGTTCAGTGTGCCAATTCTCAATACTGAATTACCCTTATTTTGATTGGCAGATATTCTTTTAGATACAGTAAAAATATGAAAAAAATAACAGGGTCTTGTTATTTCAAGCATCCTCTTTGGGAAACACATTGCCAAGAAAGCACCTTTTACCTATATCTTCCAAGGGCTACTGACTTTATAGTTTAACTAGCTATTTGGGGAGTAAACCCTGCCAAAGAATGATTTAGATGCATTTTGTTTGAGAAATAATTCTTTAGTCATGATATTCAACATCTCAGTAAGACTCACAAATCCTATTTAATACATAGTGTACTATTATATTAATGGAAATGCTAAGCTAATTGCTATTAATATGCTAGGAGCATGGGTTTTACAGTTTATAGAGGGTTTTTCTCACACTTAATTCTCAATGCTTTTTTGTGGTAGAAAGAATTCAGAGATAAATGCTGGGATGCAGGTATCACAAATGGGGATCTGGCATTAGGCCTACTGAGGTCTTATTGAAAAGCTGGGGAGTAAGACAGAGCTGGGGTTGGGGACACTGACCTCATGGCCAAAGCTGGCTCATTGGAGGATGGTCAGGTGATGACAGGAGTGAGTGAAGTACCGAATTCCTCACATTCCTTATACTGTAGGTATGCATACCAAGTGACAGTCCTACAGTCCAGCAGGTAGGGTGACACAAGTGTGATTCAGATATGGTAGGAAAGTTGGAGCCAGGTAGTCAGTGTTTCCTAGAGAACCAAGCCTTGGCAGCAGGTCCCTCATTACAAGGCACAGACACATAAAAGAAGAGACTGACAAGAACTACATATGATCTCTGGACTCAGACACATGACCAGGGGCTCAGAAAAGCCTTCAAGTCCAAAAGGGAAATCTAAAAACTTATCAGAGAGACAGGGAAGACTATAGAGTGGGAATCAGCATTTCAGGAGACAATCAGATCCTCTGTCTTAGGGAGATCAAGCACTGGGGAACAGCCAGGGCAAATGCTTCCTGGCATCACTGAGTGCGTGTACAGCCCCAGTGTCCAGTAGTCATGGTGAAGCCCTATAGAAGAGTGTCTTGGAGACAGGACCTGATCCATTTGAAGGACAGAGACTTCACAGGAGCACATAAGCATCTCCCCAGGAGATTTCAATCTTAAGAAATATATCTCTGTAATATCACATTCTGCTTGCTGATCTCAGAGCTGACCAAGAAGCTGAGATTGCATATGGAAATCACTGGAGGAATCATGTGAGGACTTGTGACCCTGGCTAGTATTGACAGTGTGGAACACCTGTCTTTCCCAGTGTGGTCCCAATGATGGATTTTGGGATTCCCTGTGTCCACCCATTCCGCCCACATTCATGCACAGAAAACAGTGGGAACAGGAATGTTCCCACCGCCAAACCTTCCTCTTACTTTTCCCCTTTCATTCTTCCTCTCTCCCTCAAATTTAGTTTAAAAAATTAGATAATCCCCATTTAAATGATAATGCTAGATCTGGCACACAGAGCTCAGGGCAAAGTTAAACTGATTTTCAGAGAAGCACTGAGGTATTTTGCCAGAAGATTAAGCATAAGAGCACTATGGGATGGACATTAGTCCAGAAGAGCAACTGCGTCTCTCCTGTGTCCCCTTGTTTTTACTTCTTTTTGTTGCCATTACTGTTGCCCCTTTAAACTAGTTTTTAGTGAAGGAAAGGAATGGTGAATTTTCCTCAACAACAGTGTAGGGCAAGAAGGGGAGGGAGGATGGGAAGAAAACCAAGGAGCTATAACTCAGAAGGAAGGAGGAATTCTTTGACTATTTGTCCTGGGTTTGCAACTTCTGACTACCTGAATGCTTCTAAATGTATCAGTGTTTGAATCTCACCCAAAAACATTATTATAAAAATCTGTGTGTGAGGTCCAGACATTATTATTATTTTTTAAAGCTCCTCAAACGATTATAATATGCAGCCAGAGTTGAGAGCTAGTAAAAATCTATCAATAGGCCATTACAAATACGTGTAAGAATTGTAAATTAGGTACAAGCAACCACCTGAATAGTGTGTGTGTGTGTGTATGTATATACAGGCGTACTCTTGTTAGTTGCTCACTTAGCTGCTACATTTATCTGAATTCTATTATGAAGCTTTCCCCAAAGTATGCTGTGTTAAATACTAGTTCCACAGAGTGTTTATAGGCTGGGAGAATGAGAAAGATGGGTGTTACCGTCAAATGAGTTTGAGAAATTCTAGGTGAAACCATTACCTATGTTGCTTCTTCTTCTTCCTCTTCTTCTTCCCCTCCCCCTCCCGCCTCTCTTCTCTCCCTCCTCCTTCTCCCCTCTTTCCTGCCTTCCTTTTCCCCTCTTCCTCATCCTCCTCCTTCTCCTTCATCCCCAATGGGGAACATAATATGAACCATGGCCCAAACCTAGTTGCTCTGAGAATGAATTGTGTTCTTCCTAGGACCACTGCTCTACAGGTGTCCTGTGGACGCATGTGTGGAAGGTAACACTGTAGGTGTAGGCTGGACAGTGGATGGAAATCGCTGTTTGGAGGGTGGACCTTGCTGCCTATGAATGCCTCCTTGCAGTCTGCCAAACTTCAATCACAGGAGTGCTTCTTAATTTCAATATTACTCCAAAAATTTCTCCCTGATTATGTAATCAATTGCTCAATGAATAGCTCCTAAGATTTTTATCAGACAGTTCTGTTAATAGCTCACTAGAGTTTTCAAGCACAGGAGGAGCTTAAGGTAACATGGTCTTGTGAAACAAACACCCTTTCATCTTTTTGCTGTGTTTGCCCTAAAAATGGCCGGGGCTATGTAAAGATGATACACGTGTATAAATATATATAGTCTCAGACGTAAGGGGCAAACATGGTTTACTCATAGGACAGACAGTCTTTGATGCTCAATTCTGAAAGCTGATCCTATAAACTTGAAATAATAGTTTTGTTTTTTTATATTTGAGACTTTTTATTCTGTCCTTTTTTTTTTTTTAGTTCTTAGAGTATGATAAAAATTCATTTCAATCAGGTACAGAAGAGGAGATTAATGTGACTTATTTTACTCATGGTATCTCTGAGGATGTCATTTGTGAAAAAGAAGCATAGATAAGTTAGTGAGGACTGGAATGATGGGAGGAGTTGATGGTCTTCACATTTCCAGAAGATTTTCCAGAAATAGAAACCCTTCCGTCTATACTTCCAGAGCACACACATGCTACCACATTTAATGTGATTTATGTCATCAGCCGAGAAAATGTACTTGATAAAAAACCCTGAAGATGGAAAGAACTTCTGCTGATCCCTACAGCTTCAGCCGAAGAAAAATTTCATGTTCATTCTCCCCTGTTCCAGCAGTTAGAGCTCTCCCCACTGTCTGAAGGAAACTTGTGAAAAAACCCTTCACTGCTCAGTGGAAAGGGAAGTGGCTGAGGAAGAGCAGGAAAAAAAATAGTCCCATTCTTTTATAAGAACTAGGAAAGAATGAGAGAGAGAGAGAAATAAATTCTTCTATCAAATAGACTTTCAAGTGATCATTTCTCTACTAAAGCAATTTTATCTTTGCTCTGGATTAATGGATAAAATAGCTCAAATGATAAAGTTGTTGAGACATATAGTCATTATAATAATGAAAATGTTATTATGTAGTATCTTTATTGTTCTTGGTGCTTTGTTTGTTGATATTTTGAATTTTTTGTACTGTTTGGGAACTCCAGAATGTTGCCTCCATTTCCAATTTGCTTTCTAGAATTTCGTTTATTTTTAAATTTTGTGCTTTTGAAAAATGTATACTCTGATTTTAACTAATTTTGCCTTCTCTGCTTATTCTTGACAGGTTGTTGTCAACCACATCATCCATGACCGTCGCAATCAATAAAAGTCAAATAGTTCAATAGAATATTTTTCCTCCTCCTCCTCCTCTTCCTCCTCATCATCATCGTCATCACTGTCATCACCACACCACAACGGGTAGAATATCTTAACAATCAAAATACTTTAATATTCTACGGGAAATTATTTCAATGTAGATGACAGTTTTTTATTTAAAATTTTTTAGCATTGCTAATATAAACATTATATTTTATTCAGCCACCAGAGGGAGCCCCCAAATATATGGATTCTAGAAGAGAATGAGAGCAAAATAAATAAGTAGGAAACTTTATATGTTTTATGGATAAAATAAAATATTTAATCATCTGTGTTTCATGGTATTGTGGACTCATGTGTTGGGTCTATTGCACATCAAGTGTCTAAAATCTTGTCTACTGCAGATGCCATATCATTTTAATGAATAGTTATTAAGTAATACTCTATGGGTTTATGTTTTTATTTATTTATTTTTTTGAGTTCGGATCATTGTGTTATTTTAACTTTATATTTTAGTTTTAGACAACATTGATTGATTCCCTGCTTCAAAAATATAATTATATGTCCCCTTCCTTCTCTTTTTTAGGTCCCAATTTTTCTTAAGTTGAACTTTTATGTTATCACATTTACAATACTTACATTCTTTTCTGTAGCCATAAATTCACTGTTTACCACATCTTCTACTTTCCTTACTTCTTTATTTCTAACCATGTCTTGACTTGCTAGATTTTTGCCGTCAACTATTTAATTCAAGAAGGGTCTTTGAGTCCTTGTATCCTTGATGTCGTCCACGTTTGGGAAGGGCTGCTTGTTGCCTTACCACGTATGACATATGGGGTGAGGATGATACTGTCAGGTCATATTTTCTTTTCCATATCTATGGCTTTATTTTCCCCTAAGCAGAATCAAGTGTTTCCTTTTCCCCCACAAATATTATGTGGGTGTGGAACAGGGAAGGAAATTATCCAACTGTTTCCTGCAGCCCTTGCAGAGCTGGCTGTCCCCAGTAATGATGGGTCCTGGATCTCCCAGAACATCATTTTGTTAAATGTCTACCATCTTGTAAATAAGCCTCCCAGTCACATTTACTTTCTGGGTTTTCTCTCTCTCTTTCTTTCTTTCTTTATCTCTCTCTCTCTTTCTCTCTGTGGCTTTATTGAGGTATAATTGATGTACAGAAAAACTGCCCATGTTTAGTATATACAATTTGATAAGTTTGGACATATGCATACACTGGTGATACTGTCACCACGATCAAGATAATAAACATATCTGCCATCTCCAAAAGTTTACTTGTGTTCACGTCTCCCACTCTAGGAACACTTTGTAGGACAATCCTGGGGTGGGGGGCAGTTCCTGGATGCGCTCTGTGTTTATCTGTTGCCTACTCTGTACCCTACTTTAAAGCATTCCAAAATTTTCTCACGCAGTAACATGATCAACTCTATTTTGTGGCTGTGGAAACTGTCATGCAAGAGGTTAAGCAAATTACCCAAGGCCATGGAGCAGATGAGTGAGAGAGCTGGGAGCGGATCCAGGACTCTGCACTGCCTAGTTGACACATTGCGTTCCATTGTCTCACCAGGCTGCAAGCCGGCCTACTTCTTCCCATCGCACTTAACTAAAATCAGGTATCGCAATTAGCATTTCTGAGCAATAGTCAATGGTATTTCACCACCAAAAACAGAATGTTGTCTCAATAGAAAAACAAATTATAAGCAATGAATAAAGGTGAAATATATTCATTCAGAGCAGTGTTGATATGTTCAATCCTTCTTCACATCCTTTAACCTCTTATCCTCTCCAGGCTGCTTATAAATATATTCAATGTGTCAACAAAAAGTTTTAATACAGATACTGCCAGAATATCAGCATTTTGGACAAAGAAAAAAACTTTCTACTTGATGTTAACATAACTCTGCATTTGAACTAGGTATATCTCTCTCTCTCTGTGGATAATTAAAAAGCTATTTGTAAATGAAATAAAATATTAAATACATAAAGGCACCACATTGAGTTACATTTTTCCACAAAGCACAGCCACTCTCTAACAAATACATATTTACCATTTCAATCAACTATGCTCTTCGACAAGCCAAACGAATTCACTTCCCTTAAAACCTAAAAAGCCTAAGCAATAATATGGTCTTTGAGACACAAAGGAGAAACAGTGTCCCATCATGATTGTTTCCTGGACCAGCTATAGGACAGTTGCCCATGCAATAGGCCATAGCCAGGCCCTGCAATGCAGTAGCTCCCTTCAGGGGGCACTCAGAGTGCTATTTTCCCCTTCCTGGGTCCCCCATTGCCCCTACCACACCTCCTAAGAATGCTCCAGGGCTGGTTCTGTGCTGAAGTGCAGGGTCCCTCATCGCACACTGTAACCTGCAGTACCCTAGACTGCTGCCTCCTCGGCTTACCACAGGGGGCAGACGCTGACTGAGAAAGTGGTTCAAGAAACAAATTCCTAAGGAAAAGCAGGGAAATGCAAAAAATGTAATAAATGAATAAAATAAAAATAAAATAAATTTTAAAACATGTTTTCTGGTTTCACCTTCAATAGTACAATACATCTCATGAGATATGGTTTATCTCACATATTTAAAAAATAAACAGCTCTTCATTAATGCTGAGGATGTATGAACTTAAGGTTTAAAGCTAGGGTGATTTAAAGTTTTTTTGCAGGAAACCACTTCTTGGTGGTGTGCTTCTTTTTATGTCAAATTTAATAATTCTATGAATATGTTTCACTCAAATGTCCCAGCTTTGTTATAATCCCCCAGATGAATAATGCATTTCTCAGAAAGTATCCTTCCCAAAGCAGAAAGCACTATGAACATTCTTTATAACTTCCTTTGCCAGTCCATGGTTTTTCATCCTTTGCTACACATTTTTCAAAACCTGAGCAAAGGCACATAAATTATTGTTATTCTTAATCAGCTGAGCTATTGTACATGCAAAATTCAAAAATCTCAACCTGTGGAAAGCATTAGGAAGAGATATCACTACTGATTATTGCTCTGTACAGACTTTCTCGTGTTGTTATCCTAACTTTATTTTAGTGTGGTGGTGTCAAGCATGGACTCTGGGGCTTGCCTGCTGGGATCTGAAATTTTGCTTCACCACTTACTGAGTTATCGTGAACATGTTACTTGATTTTTGTGCCTCAGTCTTCTCATCTATAAAATGGACATCTATAAATAATGGTCCTTATCACATTGTTTGGAAGATTAAACGAGTTAATATTTGTAAATTATGCATATTTATTAAAAACAGAACGCTGCTTGATAGGGTGTTTTATACATAAAAGAAAGCATATATTTTTTATAGCATCATGCAGCTCCACATCAATATGTCCATATTAATGATTGGGTCTCTTTTCTCTACCTGTCCAGAATGCTTGACATATGACAGTGGGATACATTAGGGAACTGCCTGGGTGCCAGTATTTTCATCTAAAAAATGGTGATGATGATCTTGCCTTGGAGGTCTGATGTGCAATAAAGGGAGGCAGCACACATAAAGTGCTTAGCAAAAGATCTTATTGGGAATCCATAAATGCTCATTGACAAATAGAAATAACTACATGCAAAGTCATCATATAAGTTCAAACCACATAAAGATTCTAGAAGATAAAATTACTATCATAGAAACAAAACAATTGTTTATTGAAAGGGTCAGGTCATTTTGTCTTTTTATTATCAGAGTCAAATTAGAAATTTTCAATCCACAATTTCCAAAGAAAATATTCAGAGAGAATTTCAAGAAAATTTCATCCCTTCAGGGTTTTATAGCCTTTTTAAAAACTTAAACACAATAAAAATGTCAATATTTTAACACTACATTTCTACTTACTGGAAAAGCCTTGTAGAAATACTATTAAAGTTTACTTAGAAGCAAACAAGGCAAATTGGGATACTTGTAAGTTTCTTGCTTCTTTGTGCTACTCCATGGTGGAGGAATAACCATTCATAGTTTCCTTTGTAAGGATGATCAAAGAGGAAAATGGAAATCACTTGTGTAAGTACAAGTCAATTATTTACATGTGAAAAAGAGGTAAAATCGGTGGTCTGGAGTAGGCACAATCTTTATTTTAATGAACGGCATTTTAGTTTTAGATGACTGGGAATCTTAACTCCCCCACCCCTATACATTATGGCATATTCAGTAAATATCTTTACAAAATTTGTTGCTGCTGCATAAGACTTTACTCACCTGTGGGCAATTCCAGATAATTGAAAATTGCATTAGTTTTGGTGAAAAATAAGCATGATATTAGAACTGGGTCTTCGGTGGATGGTAGGACAGGTTGGACTTAGGAATGTAGGTTCTTAGGAACACAAAGGCCAATTGAATTATAACAGAGTATCTGGGAAAGCTCTTGGAGTGTGGGCAATTAGAAGAAAATGAGCAGGTTTCAGTGAAGACTACAGTCAATGAGCAAGAGATGAAAAGAGAATATGAGGCTGAGAAGTACTGGGAGGGAAGAGCTTATATCAGGGCAGTCTTTCTAGCACCAGATAGAAACCATTCTGTCACTATGTTGAATAGAAATGGTGATATTGGGTAACCTTGCCTGGTTCTAGTTGTAAGAAGGAATGTTTTCAATTGTTCCCTGTTCAGAATGATGTTGGCCGTGGGTTTGTCATATAGTGCTTTTAACATTTTGAAGTAAGTCCCGTCTATGCCTGTTTTGTTAAGCATTCTTATGATAGAAGGGTGCTGAATTTTGTCAACTGCTTTTTCTGCATCTATTGAGAGGACCATCTATCAAGGTCTTTGTTTTTACTTCTATTTATGTGGTGAATTACATTTATAGATTTGTATATGTTGAACCATCCCTGCATCTCTGGGATGAAGCCCACTTGGTGGTGATGAATTATTTTCTTGATGAGCAGCTGGATTCAGTTTGCTAGGATTTTATTGAGAATTTTTGCATCTATATTCATAAGGGATATTGGTTTGTAGTTTTCTTTTTTTGTTGAGTCCTTTCTTGGCTTTGGTATCAATGTGATGTTGGCTTTATAAAACATGTTGAGAAAGATTAGTCCCTTCTTGATGTTATGGAATGGGATCTGGAGTCTACGGACTCCAGTAATTCCTAGGAAAACTGATAAGGACAACATAGAACAAAAGACCTCCTGGGAAAGATAAAGTTTTAATAAAGCAGCACTCAGACTTAAACTGAGCTGCCAGACAGTAGTCTACATTTGAGGTTTAAGATATATCATGAGAATAAGATTTAAACTTTCTCTGGTTAGGGAAAAGATGGGTTTTAAAAGCTAGGTTAAGACTGAATCTACAGGTGACAGCCTTATGGTGTACATAATTAATACTGTGTTCACCAATATCTTATAGCAAATAAATTTATGAGTTTCATACAAGAGTGTCTTTTAATATCCTTCACAAAGGCAGATGGTACAGAAAACCAAAGTGTAGTCCAGTAAAAGCAGGGTCATTTAGTAGATATTCCATAGAACCCTATGATTTGCTTTCACACAAAGGAGTTTTTGCTTTGTGCAGTGGTGCCAATACTAAAGAGTCAGGGTAATACATTTCTCTTTATGAAACCAAAGTTGGATTCAGAAGAGTGAATGAATATGGAAGGCTGGGATGGTGAATAAAATAAATTTCATTACCTCTATCAGAAGGTGAATGATGAAGGCAAAGCAGACTTGTGGCCTTTGGAGAGCACGCCATTTGGATTGCTTTTATCTTTTTTGAACAAACTATTTTGGGCTCCACCAGTAGAATTAAAGGGCTGCAGGATTTGCTCCCAGCATGGACAGTTCAAACCCAGCAGAGAGTTGACAGCATGAAGGATGCTCCTGACATAGGTGGCCCTACCGGCACCATGCCTTCTCTCTGGTGGGGGCAGCTAGGCAAATGGTAAAGCCCTCATCCTGTGAAGGCTTGCTTCTGCTTTTGGAGAAGATGGCACAGAAGAAATGAAAGAGACGCAAAGGCCCTATTTGAATAATGCAGGTTTCTCATACTCTCACTATGTCCCCTAAAACAACTGTATTTCTGATCGTATTTTTTAAATGAAATTTAAATATGAAATTATTTAAACTTGACATCAGAATTGTTCCTGAAGTACTAAATTCCTGCTAGAAAAAAAATAGAATAGTTTTTTTTTTTTTTTTGAGGGAAAATGTTACCACTGAAAAACTCTATACTCAGCCAAATTATTGGTAATGTGCTTTGGCAACAGAAAGTCCTTTTCCCATATGCAAAATCTCAGAAAATACACTACCCACATTCACTTTAAAAAAATTTTTTACCAATCAAATAAGAGATTAATTAAAATAGAAATCACAAAAAAGAGGAAGTTATGGTGTAAAATGGCAGCCGGTAGGCATTGAAACTATTTGAACATTGTTTTGTTTAATCAACAATTGTAAAAATTCATGTCAATATAAAAAAATTCTCTAAAGGGAAGATAAGTAGCATGTATTAAAATTAAATTGGACCTAAGAAGCCAGATTATCTTTTATTAAAATTAACAAGTGGGGTGGGGTAGACAGCTAGAAGAGAGGAAGTAACGCATGCTTCATTTCTCATCCTTCACAGGAGGCATTCAATGGATAACATTTTGCAACGATGTAGAAAATTTTAATGTATATATTACAGTACACTTAAAATATATTAATTTTCAGTAGAAACAGAAAAAACAGGTGGCTTTTAAATCACTATAGAATTAAGCAAACAAACAAAATATCCATATAGGGACATGCAAGTGAAAGGAAAAAGAAAGAAAGCACAAAATAAACAGAGCATGAACACAGTGATATTCATATGATTAATTATTTTATGTACAAACTATAATGCAAAAAGGTTAAACTCACTATTATAACACAAAAATTTGGTCCCTCTAAAATATCTGAATGTGCACAATACACAAAAGTTACTCTAAAACAAACTAGCAAAAAAGTAAACAGCAAAAGGATGGGCAAGGGTATATTTAGCAAACAACATCTAAATAAAGGAATGGGATTATTAATATCCATTAAAATAGAATTCCAAAACAACATCAGCAAATGGAAGAAAGATAAATGTTACTGTCCACACTAAAGATGTAATAGAACCAAACTCAATGGAGCAACTAACATGGTATACATATACAGGGCAAAGACTGCTAAAGAAAAAGGAAACAAATTATTTCTAGACATTTTTCACTACTTTCAATTTTTGACAGGTGATTAAGTATAAAATAAATTAGGATATAGAGTACTGTAACTAATAGGTTTAAGTTATCCTGAGTAAAGTATGTCAGAAACAGAAAAACAAATACCACATGTGCTCATTTATAAGTGAGAGCTAAACGATGGGTATACATTAATATACGCAGTGGTATAATGGACTTTAGAGACCCAGAAGAGGGCAGGATGAAAGGGAGCAAGGGATCAAAATTACCTATTGGGCATAATGTACACTATTCGGGTGGTGGGTACACTAAAAGCCCTGACTTCACCACTATACGATTCATTCATGTAACAAAAAACCACTTGTATCCCCTAAATCTATTGAAATACAAAAAAAAGTTAAATTTCAGGGTTTCTATTTCTGCCAATAATGCAGAAAATGTGCCTTGAAAAGCTTCCCAACAATGTATATTTCTATATGAATAAAATATAACAAATTTTAAATGTGTTCACTATACTGTAAGGGAATTCTTGGGGGTAAAAACATGGATAGTTAGAAAACTGATTGAGAAATACAACTGAAATCTATAACTCCCCTGAAGAATAGTTCCAGAAAAATAGAAAGCTTTCCCAGGAGACCAGGCCTTGTAAGCAAGGGGAGAGGTTAGAAATAAGGCTACTGAAAAAAGTTTAATAACAAAAAGGCTAAAATGTTAATACAAGAGTAGATGGAAAAAGCAAAATAAAACAAACAAACAAACAAAAAACAACAAAGAAAAACATCTTGTGAATAAAGGTAGAGGACAAAGAAGCATATTTGTTTTGGCTGGTACTTTAAGTGGGCAAACAAGCAGCAAACAAAAAGGTTTCCACTGAGAATGTGTAACCACATTGATTTGGAGTTCACATTTAAACTACTCATGTAGTTTAGGAAACCGCAAGCTGAGAAATGAACTTGATCCAAAAGCAAACAAAATATATAACATGCATATCAAAAGACAAGTAAAATGAAACAAAAAGAAAGGACAGTATAAACAGCATCAAACACAATGCTAAATTACATTGGAAGAAAATATAAATCCTCTAAAGAGGGATGTTATCTTTATTCCAGGCCAGATGAATATGCTACAGAAAAAGTCTACTGAATATAAATTCACAATCAAAATTAAAAGAAACACAAAAAAAATCAGTCATAGTGATTGAGAACAATTGTAATGGAAAATATGGGAAAGAAAAATATATACTAAAAAGAACAAGTATTTTAAAAGGAAACAAAAAATAACTTCTAATGAAAAAATATAATCAAACGTGTCTCATAGCACTTTTAGAAGAAGAGAACTGAGATGATGAGAGACAGGATCTATTTAAAGAAATAAAACCTAAGATTTTCCCTTATTGATTAAAGACATGAATCCTTGTATTCAAGAAGCACACACACATGAATCTTAAGCAGAAAAAACAAAGATGAAATCAATACTTAAATTCATCATAGTTTCCTAACCGATCTTTTCTACTAAAGGTAGAGAGATCTTTAAAAAGCCATAGAAAATAAAACTACACATGAATAAAATTGACAGCAAATATCTTAATAATGGAAGGCAGAGGAGAGTGGAGAAATATTTTCAAAGTGCTGAGAGAAAATATCTTGGCATTTTTACCCTCTTGCAAGAATGAGGGTGAAAAAGGACAAATAAAACACATACTAAGGAACTTGGAAAGAATATACTTCAAAATGAATGAAATTGTCCTAGAAAGAGTATAAGATGCAATATTAAATGGAGGAAAAAAGCTTCACATACTGAACATGTGAGTAAATATAAATAAAGATATTGAACATTTTTATATTGAACATATAAAATAATAATGTTGACATTTTGCAGTAAATAAATCAAATATGAAATGCTGCACAACAATAGTATTAAAGATGAGATGGCCGGGCGTGGTGGCTCACGCCTGTAATCCTAGCACTCTGGGAGGCCGAGGCTCGAGGTCAGGAGTTCAAAACCAGCCTGAGCAAGAGCGAGACCCCATCTCTACTATAAATAGAAAGAAATTAATTGGCCAACTAATATATATAGAAAAAATCAGCCGGGCATGGTGGTGCATGCATGTAGTCCCAGCTACTCGGGAGGCTGAGACAGGAGGATTGCTTGAGCCCAGGAGTTTGAGGTTGCTGTGAGCTAGGCTGACGCCACGGCACTCACTCTAGCCTGGGCAACAAAGTGAGACTCTGTCTCAAAAAAAAATAAAAATAAAAATAAAAAAAAAATAAAGATGAGATGAAGTCAATCAGAGTTAAAATGTTTTAAGATCTCTTTTGTTGTTTGAAAAAAACAGTAGAGCAATGAAATATTAACTTTTAATTTTAATATTAAAATTTTTAGAATAACCATTAGAAAAATAGAAATAGGGTATATAAATTATGAAATAATAGGGAAAAGAAATGAAATAAGAAAAATTTAGCCTTAAATAGGGATAAAAAGAAAAAAAGAGGCCATTAACACAAGACAAATAACAAGCACAAAATGA